ACTTTGTCACAGTCACACCTGATTGAGGAAGCAACCAGATGCCAAAGTGAAACACCTGAGTGGCATTCACTGAGGAAGGAGAGAGTGACTGCTTCACATTTCCGGGAGGTAAGCCATGTTAGAGGTACAAGCACAGCAGAAAAACTGGAAGAAAGAATTATCAGAGGGACAAGACAAACACCACTAATGAAAAGGGGGCTGGAAATGGAAGCAGGTGCATTGAAGGACTATGCAGTTCAAAAAAATCTTTATCTGACAAAGTGTGGGCTAGTCGTGCATCCGGACGCACCTTGGCTGGGTGCATCCGGATGCACGACTAGCCCACACTTTGTCAGATTAAGATTTTTCTCTAGCCTAGTATATGACCCACTTGAGCGACCATCATTTGGTCTAGTTGAAATGAAATGCCCAAATGTAGCCAGCTACATAGACTGCAAGTTCCTGAGATTTTATCATGGCCTACACAAATTGAAGGAAAGCCATTGTTATTATTGGCAAGTCCAGGGACAGTTACTCATCACAGGCATGGAATGGTGTGATTTTGTTGTCTGTGCCCACGATGACATTTTCGTGCAGCGCATTTGCCGAGACAGCACTGTATTAAGCTCCCTGAAAGAGAGATGTGATTTGTTTTTCTTTAACACATACATGTCAAAATACCTCTCTATGAAAAGTAACTGAACAGACACATTAATTATTGTACAATCCTTTTAAAAATTTATTTTGTCAACTGTCTTATTTACAACATTGTAATATTAAAGGAGCGCTATGCAGTTTTGGTCATTTCTTCGCTTTTTTTCTCTATAGAGCTCCCCCTACATATAGATATTTGGCAGCTCCTATGTTTACTAGTGTCTGACTCCTCGCTCGGTCAGCCTGCCGTTTCCTCTTTCTCTGTTCCTCCGACAATGCTTTCCTAGCTTTCTGCTTCTTTTTGGCCAGCTCAGCCATGACGATAGTGTGAAAAACTAAAAAAACCATTTCTATATGTTAAGTGTCCATACACAACATTAAATTGCAAGCATGTTAGCATCCTTATTGACAGTTATACAACATCTTAGAACATTTGGCACTAAGGTCAGAAACTGGACCACGCACGTCAGTCCTTTTGCTTACTGCTCTTCTCTGTATTTAAAAATACAATTAATGCGCTAGTAGATAGCCTAGATCTAGATAGTTTTAGATAGATACTTTACTCATCCCGAGGGAAATTCAAGGTTTCCAGTAACTTACAACAACACACACCACACATGCAACATTTAAACAGATAATAATACTAGTCATTGTTGACAGCTCAAATACATAGGCCTATATATTAAACACATTGGACATTTTAATTTACCTTGTGAAAAACCTTATGTCATCATCAGATCCAGCAAACCGCTCCAAGCAGAACTTGCTGCTGATAGTTATCTCCTCAATTTGATTTCGGAGCCTTGCTATCTCTACACTAAGTTCTTCATTGTGGTCAAGGGACATATACAGCGCAGCAGGTTCAGTGATGTTGCAGTAGTCATGGTCAGGAGGACAGTCCAATTCCACAGACGGATTATTCATGGTTTCTGTGTTGGGACGCTCGGTCCTTTCCCAAACTCCGGGCCGTGGGGCTGGAACACTGAAATTGTTCCATTGAAACAGCACTGGAACAGCTCCCTTCTTCAGACGTCTGCGCCCAGCTGGAGTCGGAGGCTCTATCACATCTTCACTTAGAAAGTGTCGGCTGCAGACTCGTGTGTTTGTTTTAAGAAAGTTGACTCGTCGAATGTTAATCACCCACCGTTTATGTAATTCACTGTCTTTGGGAAAGTAAAAAAAAAACGAACAGAATAATTGCATCTGGCAGACACTGTACATTGCGGCACACAGCAGTGATGGCTGGAAGAGCTGTCATCCCGTTTTTGAAAGGACACTTTCGTACGTTTACACGTCATCGTGTTATAAGTCAAGACGAAGTATTACAAGTAAAAACATAAACATTAAGATAAGCAACAACAACGACGAAAATTAACCGTTTCGGATGTTTTTGACGACAAGCATTCAATGCTAGCATACGGTAGCACATTATTTTACGATAACCGGAAGTTTACATCCATCCTGAGATTTAACCGGAAATACGTCATGCTCGCCTGTGCATATCGCCTATTTCTACCAAGTTTCAATTCTGAAATGTTAAATCCAACAAAACAAAGCATGGCTAGTTACTTTGTATCCATTCAGTGTCACTGTCAAAAGCAGATTGTTGATTTTACTGGATAGGCCAAGTTGTTTCCTCACACCACACAATGAGACTTATGTTTTAAATCTTTAGTCCAGTTTGCATTGACAAAGTTTGTATAGGTGATCATTTTCGTGTTCATTTGATATGCAAGAAATTCTAATTCTAGAATCAGCTCTGCACGTGTCGGCCGTCTGTGCACACGTGTTCTGTGGCCTCGGACCGAGGTTGTGCGCCAGCTGGAATCACCAGGCTCACCTTTGGACTAAAATAATGTATAGTTCAAATCATAATATGTATTAATCTATTGGTATCTTGTTGACCTAATCCATTATCTGAGACCATCAGTAACTAAATCATTATAAAGTCATGAATCAATGTGCCCATTCCTAGGCTATATCTCAGGCCTAGGCGAGAACGCACCTGGCCACACTCGGCCTCAGAACACGAGCCATTTCCACACAAAGTCAATGATGGATGGATGGACATGTGCATGTGCCTCTTGTTGATAACGCTCCTGAAAGCCGCAGACATCGATTACATTTCTAATTATTTTGTTCTAAGAAATTACAAAAACTGTAATACCCATGCATATATTTTAAACACTGTGCACTGCAGTCATGTTCACTAACAGATCCTATACGACAAAAAATGCTGGCAAGAACATTTTGGTGAGTAGGTCTATTTCACCTATTGTCTATGACATATGATCAATGCTTCTGATTGGACAATTAGATTTTGCATAGGCAAAAAGAATAGTAGCGCGTGGCTCATTTTCTTCACAAATCATAGATATTTCTCTATGTACTTGCTAAGGTCAGGACATTCTCATTATGAGTTGTTATAGATCAAGTGTGTGTGTGTGTGCCAGGTTGTGGCAGACCTTACCCTCTCACTACAGGTCCTGTAGCTGCCAAGCTCCTGCTAGTAGAATGGCTCTACAAACACACACTATAATTAATTCTGTAAGATTTTCAATTGATGAAATAACCCTTGATTTTGAAGACCCTTGATTAGGTGACAGTACAGAATGTCAGCTTTTATTTTATAAACCAAAACACAACCAAAACAAACAGCAAATGCATCCAACACGTTTGTAGAGCTTGATGTAGTCATTGTGTGCAAGGAATATGGGACCAAATACTAAACTTTTGACTACCTTGATACACTATGACTAGATACATAAAGTGCTTTCATTTCTAAGGTAAAACCCTCAAATAAAAGGTGACATTCTGTACTATCGCCCCATATAAAACATCTGAACTCAAATCCCAAATGCTGGAGTATAGAGACAAAAATGTTAGCTTCACTGTCCAAATACATATGGAGGGGAGTGTACATACATACAGGCATGAGATAAGACAACCAAAATCATAAGGACATTCATGACGTTTGTATTTCTTGGCCTACTTTTTATCCAAATTTAATCATTCCTTGAGCCCACTCTTTGATGGTATCTTACAGTGTGGCTTTCACACATCTCCATTCCAGTTAAGAGTCATGGTATACAGATAATATTATACAGATAAATCAAGAATAAGGACAAAATCAACAGCTGCATTTACTAACATTTGCAGACAATTGTCAGATTGTTAGTTATCCAAATAGAAAAAAAGAAACAGTAAATATACATTGCCTTCTCTAGCCTATAAAGCTACCAGGCCTGATATCCACTGTTTTTTGTCTAGTAAGGTACACAATATACTCTTTAAAATAATGTTTTAGCTACAGTACTGAATTACCCAAAAAGTACACAATTTGACATGTACAATATAGTTCCGTTTTTAATAAGAACAAAGAAAGTCGGCACAAGCAAGAATAAACCCTGTCATTCTACCATTGAATTTGCCCATAAATTGCACCTTTACTACCAAGAGGCTATTGATACAGGAAGAAATCACTGGTTGGACTGCCAAATGAGGCAACCCTATATCGTCATCAATATCACCACATTCAATGTTTTGAAATGTCTTTCCTATAACAAATTTGAGAAAAGTACAAAGATGAAATTGGGCACCAGGTGGGAATAACAGTTTCATTAAATGATAGGCCCATAACATGATCATAGTCGGGACACATGAAATTCAAGTATCAAAATGATTAAGAGGACACTAACTAACTGTAGAGGAAAATACAAGGACAGTAAAAATTATGGGAAAATAAACATAATATGACACAATCAACAATACATTAGGCCAGACGTCGGCAACCCTAGTCCTGGAGTGCCACAGGCACTTCATGTTTTTGATTTAACCGACCTGGAAGACCAGGTGTGTTGAATTTAGGCTATCACTGAACTTAGCTCAGTTGGTCAGGTATGGTGCCTAGTTGGAACAAAATCCTGAAGTACCTGCAGCACTCCTGGAACAGGGTTGCCTACCCCTGCAGTAGGAAATGTTTTGCATTTAAGGCAGTAATATTTCCTCCAAAAAGTAGGAGCTAGATAGCTATGTTAATTCCATGTTAATTCCAAATCTAGACCCAACGTGACCCCCCCGCCAATGTTTTCTTGTACAAAATAACAATGCCTTGCTCTGAAAATAAGCACTTTCATTTGAGTTGTCTTCAAACGTTTCTGAGTGAGAATCAAAGAGTTCATATGGCCAGCAGTGGGTTGTGTTCTGGATGTTTTTGGTCTTCTTCACAGTGAGGTTTGTCAGGGCTTATCAGGCTGGAGCATGGTGGTGTCACTCAGCCTATTGTCTGGCACAAACCTAAACAGTTGGCACAGATCTGGCACAGCACGGGAAGGCATTGTTGTTTGTTTGTTCTGTTGTTTGTACGGTTAACGGTTGCCTTTCATGGCCTCCTTAGCAGCCAAGATTAGAGGTGTAAGACTGGAGAGGGGCTTTGCCAGCTTCAGGAAGGGATGCTAGACAAACGGAAGAGAAGGAGGAGAAAGAGAGCAAAGGGTTAACATTGGAGCTCATCTCTATTGTAGTACATGCAGACAGGGTAGTGATGGAGGAATATACAGCCAAATCCAACCAATCAAGTTAACACAAGAGTAGAAGAGCAAATCACAAAGGAAGCCATAGATAGGATGGGGCATCACCTGCAGCAGCTCTTTGCCCCCGCCTCTCTTCTCCACGTCCATTTCCAGGCAGAGGTTAAGGAAGTCTCTGAATATGGGAGACAGCTTCTCTGGGTTCTGCAGCTCTGGAGTCCCATTTGTGGCGATCAGGTACAGTGCCTGGGGGAAAGGAAAGAAGAGAATTGTGAGGTGCTGTAAAAGTATGTTACATCCATGTCAGTCTTGTATCACTATGGAACTAGCTTTTGATGCACTGTGATATAGTAAAACAAGGAAATTGCATTTTAGGAGGGTGCTGCTCTATGGTTCACTTACTCTTAGCGGGTTCTCATTGAGGTATGGAGGCTCCCCCTCAACCATCTCAATGGCCATGATGCCCAGGGACCAGATATCAACCTTAGGCCCATAGGCCTTCCGTGTCACCACCTCAGGTGCCATCCAGTAAGGCGTACCCACCATGGTGCTGCGCTTGCTCTGCTCTGGAGTGATCTGGGCGCAGAAACCAAAATCGGCTGCACAGAGAGAAGGGAGGTGGGGGGTGGGGGGTGGTGGGGGGGGGAATTCAGAGAGAGATGTTGTCAAATGTTAGTGAGGGACTGAAGGGTAGCAGTACAAACAGTAGCACTAGCTTGTAATAGTCATTTGTTGACTATCCTTGCCAAAATTGTACTAATTTTTCATAGCATGCAGATGGCAAATGCCAGCTATAAATATGAATATGATTATAGAACCGTTATAGAACTGTTTTACAACATCAAAGCGAAACCATATACCCGCAGACTGTCAATAAGGTAAATATCTACCCCCAACTATTAGGGCTGTTACTTCCTCTACTACTCTACATAGGTCATGGCCAGCCTGGGGTTGTTTAGGGGGAGAGGGAGACTCACTGAGCTTGACAGAGCCATCCATCCCCAGTAGCACGTTGTCACTCTTGATGTCACGATGGATGACCTGGTTTGCATGAAGGAACTCCAGTGCTTGTAAACACTTCAGATGGGGAAACCAATGGTGGGGGGGATAGCGCAATGGAGCAAGAGAGGGGATGAAGGAACAACAGTCAATATTTCCACATTAAATAAAGGCTCTACATGTGAACAACACACAAGTTACCCACCCAGCCACTGTTAAAGGGTAAACAGGTCAAGGTTAATGCAGTGTGCCGTATAAGAGCTGGTCACCTCTCTGCAGACAGCAGCTATCTGAGCCTCGTCCATGCAGGTCTCTGTCACCACATCAGTCAGCGAGCCACCAGCCAAGTACTCCATCACCACATAGAGCTCTTCCCCCACCAGGAAACTAACATAAACACACAGACACCAAAGCCGGAGAGGTTGTTATGGTATCTTGTATTGTACAATACTGTACACCCAATAGTGTTCCACCATCACTAGGAAGTTAGGTTTGGCACACCCAACTTGCACCAAAGTTAGTGCTGTTAAGGTTAATTATATATTTGACCATTCTATTACCTGTCTACATAGTTGACAATGTTCGGATTCTTTAACTCTTTCATCACCATAATCTCATTGATGATCAGCTCCTTCTTGGGCTGCTTCTGTAGGTTGATCTGTTTAATGGCCACCTGTGAGAAACACAGGAAGGAAAGGTTCAAAATGATTCCTCTAAAATGGGTGAGTGATTAGTTATCCTGCAATCTCTCATCTCCTGCCAGGCTTACAGTTCTCAAACTCTTTCCACATTTCTGTATCTAGTCTCTGCCCCACTTTGCATGTCATTCCTCAACTCTCTTTCTCTCAAGGTCTCCTTCCTTTTACATATTCTCCTCAATCCATCCATCACCGGTCAGTCAACCAATGACAACCCTTAATTCCCCTTTACCTCCTGTCCGGTGGCGACATCAATGGCTGTGAACACTGTCCCTGAAGCCCTGCGGAGACAACGGTTACATATTTTCAATAACTCGGACACACACCTCTGTCACACACACACCCTCTTCTCATGCCCAAATACACCCCAATTACCACCTTCAAATAAACTTACCCCTGTCCAATTTTTTCATATCTTGTGTACTTTTTTTTGGGATCTCCAATGCTGACTATAGTTCCTGTGGGCAAAGATAAAGTTATACAGACCAGACCAATACTAAATTCCCCTGACAAGAGGGTTATATTAATAACTACCTGTAACATTGTCATTGTAAGAAATGTAGTGTGTTTACTCAGTTTGTCCATGATCTCCTCGTCTGACATCTTGCCCTTCTTCTTCTGTCTGTCTAGAGCCTTGGAGGCTGCGTCTCCATCTGGACACGTGGCTGGAGCGGGGATGGGGTCAATGACGGAGCGAGTGTAAACCTGCAGGAGAAACACACACACACAATAAATAAGCATGAGAGAATATGAGCGAATGCGAGCAAGAGCGAAATAAAAATTGAGGTGAGCTCCCGTCAAAATTACTCACACTCTTAGTGTATTCTGGACGTGGTGCCACAATGGGTGGGGGAGCTTCATCATCATCATCATCATCATCAATGTCCTTGATATTGGTTGATGAGGGTTCCGTGCCCTTTTTGACCGGCTATTGCATAAAATATAACAATAGACATTTCATACATTGCCCACACATATTTCGTTCACACATATTTTCGGGGCTGCTATGAATGAGGTCAAGGACCAAGAAATCCCAGCCCCATAGTATTCAGGTAGCTAGTAAGTAATCACTAGAAAGAAGTCAGTACTTACAGAGTGGGGTACTGTGGGGAAACCATCCTTTTCTAAAAATGAAAAGGGAGAGGGAAACAATTGCAGTCTTTAAAGAGTCTGTAACAAACTTAGAAAACAGCAAAGTGTCATCCATGTGAAAGCTCACCAGAGGAGGAGAAACTGAGGTATTTCTGGCGGCCGTTGCCCGTAGAATCATAGAATTTGAGCACGTCGAGAACAGCCTGTGGGTTCTTCTTCTGCTCTGACTTGGTGATGTTTGACGTCTGGAGGAGCCGTGCCCATTGCTCTGGCATGCCCTATCAGAGAGGAGGATACAAAGAGGGGGTGGGGTCAGGGGTCAACTAACTAACTCGGGTAGAAAAGAAAACTAGCAGTACTACGGTCCTCCAGGCTGGGATTTGAGTATCCCTGGAGTAAGAGTTGAAAGAAAGTGTGTCTACTCACAGTGAATTCCCCAGTGACAGCATCAAAGCCAACGTGGATGGTGTGTTCAAAGTCTGAAGGCGGAGAGATCTCTGGTCTTTCTTTGTCCCGGTCTTTCTTTCTACCACCTGAAAATCATCAAATAAACCATCATTACATTCTCTGTTAATAAATGTGCTGAAATGTAATCAGATACAACAACAGATAGACTGAAATTGAACAGACTGAAATTCAACCTCTACTGCCACTGGATAGTCTGATGCATACAGATGGTAACTAAGATAAGATGGATTGGTTCTGAACTAAGATACACTGAATGAAATGTAGCCTCTACTGGAAATGCACCTTTAAAAAAGGGCTGAGGCTGTGGCTCCATAGGTAACTGCCCCATCCCGCCCTGTGGATTTTTTTTTTCCCCCCCCAGAGCTGAAGATCCGAATCACATTCTGCGCATGAGTTTCTCTACTTTACGCAAAAATGTTTGTAGTCATCTTCCTTTCACATTTCTCACTGTCAATCGTGAATAATAATTTTTCAAGTTTTACAGGTGAAACATCCATGCAGCATCTGCATACCAACCATTTGATCTCAATCAGTTTCATAGAGATATGCATTTAGGCTAGATCTTCTTGAGTTATAGTGTTGTTTTGAATTATGTACAGTGAGTGAATTTTAGAGCAGATGGTGTTAATAAACTGTAGCATAGTCTACCTGTGTTTAGTTTCAATCAAAGTACATATTTTGTGTAGTGGCGTATTCACATATTCACACAATCATCCTCAAATCTTTTAGGCTGTGTTTTTTGTATTACAGTAACGTTATATCAGGGATGAGCAACTTTGATGGGGGTGGGGGCCAACAGAAATCTGAGCTCATCTTCACAGCAGAGAAATTTCAGAGAGAAATTTCCTGCAATTACACACATTTTGCCATAGGGTGGAGAGAAATGTTTGCAGTTTTTAGTATGATATCTGAGTGAGACTGACTAATAAACATCAATGGGGGCCCCCCGGCTAGTCATTCGACCATGATAAGAAATCAAACACATTTTTGTTGCCATGGGCTAATTGACTGACATAAGAGAAAAACTGCTGATGCACAACCAAATTTCAAAATTACACCTTGTTTATTCTACTATTCTAACTCGCAACAGTAAGTTGAGACTGAGGGAATTGATCCGAGTACCTTCAAAGCCCGCAGGCCGCCAGTTGGCCATCCCTGCGTTATACTATGCTATTATATTCGGTACTGTTATGTAGAATACTATCATTACCATGTGATCTTGCAGACATTGATTGAACTTTGATCTAACATGCGCAGAATCTAATATGCGCAGAAGATTCGGGACCGTCAGCTGTTGGTAAGATGGGTCCAGAAAAGTCGGATCCACAGCCACTCCGTTAAAAAAATAGGACAGCTGACCCATGCTTAAGAGCAGTGGTTCCCAGCCAGGAGTACTAGAACCCCTGGGGGTACTGTGCCTATCCACAAGGGGTACTTGAGAAGACTGATGAGACCATAAGCCTACTGGTAAAATGCACAGGAGGGGGTACTTCAGGGGTACTGCGGGCAGAATAAAATTCATTTGGTGGTACAGTAACCGAAAAAGGCTGGGAACCACTGCTTTAGAGCCCCTGCCAGTGCACCACCTCTATGGACTCCAGTCTCACCTTTCTCTGCTCCTGAGAAAATTGAGATTATCTTGTTGCGGGGTTTCCTTTCCTCTGGAACCGAGGGCAGGGGCTTGGAGCTGTGATTGGCTGAGAGCGGGTCCTTGCTGGAGCCTGTGCTGAAGATCGTGCTGCTCATCCTGACCGGGGGGGCCGGGGGCTTGTCCTCGGGATCCCCATTATCACACATGGTCGCAGGGAGGGGGAAGGACAGAAAGAGGGTAACAAAGAGACAGACAGGAGGAAAGAGAGCGCTAATGTGCACAATAGACAGAGGTGGGTGCAGAGAGATCAGGAAAGGGAATCAGAATAGAAGGAGAGCACGGAGTGATATCTGCGAGACAAACAGAGACATGATCAGCTTAACCACACAAATGACAGGTGAACAAGAGCACATGCACATTGCCTAACAGATTAGGTAGTATTTGCTTTTGAAGAGGCCAGTCCAGTTTTGTTTTGGTAAACCTCTTAATTTTGATCTTGAGGTGAAACAACACTGGATGGGTGTATTGCAGAGGCAATATGAAGGGACTGGCCATGAAAATAGGTAGGTCTAGAATAGATGATATGCACCTCATTAACAGCAATTACTGTCATTTATCAGAAATGTGTTGGATACAGAGCTAAGAAAGGCACTAGAAGTGCAGACTGTGGTGGGTTTTTAGAGGGTTAATAATTGATGTAGTAGAGATCAACAACAGGGAGGGTTGGGTGGAGAAGCAGCATCACAAAAAGCAGCCACATTACTAATGTGTAACTGTCTCCCTTTTATTGTATCCTTTGTCATCTCCATCTAATGATGTAAGATAAGTGACCAGGTGAAAGCCAATTAATTACAAAAGGATATCCACTACATTGCTCTCACATGTATCCATCTTCTCAGATCAGTGTAGATGAAAGAGAGGAATCCATGTCAGACTATCGAGAAACACAAGAAATGGACTGGGTATTATCATGACCATCATCATAATCACCTTTCAGATCATTAACTTTAGCTAGTCAGGATGGAGAGAAGAAAGTAGAGGAATAAATATAAATTCTCTCACTCAGCCACATTCAATACCATTGACCTAATGTTAGGTCAAGGTTTCTGAAAAGTGCAACACAGCAGGGAACTAGTACTCCAGATCACTCCCTATTACTTCCAAACGTGAATTTCCATGATGGAAAAATCATTCTAGATTCACTGTGAAAGATCAGATGCTCTGTGAAAGATCAAACGTAATACTTGCAGGTGAACCTAGCTAAATAGTTAGGCCTGATTACACGATGATATTAAGGCTAGGCTAGTTAGCTAACTCTTTTACCTATTCAACTAAGTTACCAAAAGCAAGTTAGGCTAACAGTTGTCCGGAGTTCAGTTAGCCAGCTAGCTACCTAAAGTTAGCTAGGCTAACAGTTACTTGAGTTTAGTTAGCCAGCTAGTTAGCTAATTGCACATAGTTAGCTAGCTAACGTTAGCTAGCACGGCTAACAACATCAGAAATGTGCATTAGTGTGAATTAGCTAGCTAGCTCTGCTATTGCTAGCGCTAGATTAACAAGCTAGTTTATCTCCAAGGACGAAAGCCAGACAATAACGATACCCTGCTTGACAATACAAATTTACATTTGGTAAGCAACATAACTGCATTAGCTAGATAGCGCGTATGCTCGGTGCCGGTAATAATTTAAGGGTCTTTTATTTGCTAGCCAATGATGTCGACTCGCAACTCACCAGGCAGACGCCACACACCACAGAAAACTTGGGTCCAAATCCTCGACGCTGTGAAAGCTTTAATTTGTACATACGTAAAACAAAAGTTATGATATTATGTAGTACTTGCACAAGTTACACGATATACAGAGTAACCCAATGTATGATTTCAACAGTTCCTAGATAACTCTTTCGTCAATCTTTTCGGCCGGATGGATACTTCTTCTTCTTCTTCTTCTTCTTCTTTGGTATCATGGCATTCGCACATTTTGTTTGTGTATGCTGCCACCTACTGTGCGGTAGGATGTGCTCAACCACGTTAACGTGATACAAAAAGAAAAAAAGAAAGGGGGAAAAGGAAACAAAATCGCACCACTAACTAACCCTACACCTATTTACCATTATATAATCAAAATAAAAAACACTACCCAATTCCCCTACTTTGACCCTATCTGCTCCTGCACCATGCCACCGACCTGGGAGGACGGGACACTACCACTCAACACACCCTTTAACTCTTCTGAAGTCAAATCTTGTATACCCAAATTATTCTCTGCAGCTGCCACCACAACATCTATTTTCTGTGATTCACATTCCATTTCTACAGTACAGTTGATAACCATTGCTATGAACACTAAGAACCCAACCTTACTGAAGCATTTCTCCCGAGTGGCGCAGCGGTCTAAGGCACTGCATCTCAGTCCTTGAGGCGTCACTACAGACCCCCTGGTTCAATTCCAGGCTGTATCACAACCGGCCGTGATTGGGAGTCCCATAGGGTGGCGCACAATTGGCCCAGCGTCGTCCGGGTTTGGCCGGTGTAGGCCGTCATTGTAAATAAGAATTTGTTCTTAACTGACTTGCCTAGTTAAATAAAGGTAAAATATATATATATTTTTTTATATCACTCGTTGGCCTATCCATCTGTGCTGGCACAGATACACTACTCACAGGGATCCTCTCAGGATCCCTCACCCTCAACCCATCCTCCTCTACTTTCTTCACTGCCTCAGCTTACGAGACCTTCTGCACTACTCTGACTCTGGCCACCTCACCTGCCTCTCTCGCACCGGACACTTCCGATCCCCAGCAACATAGGCACCCCTACAGTTGACACACACAACTTTATCCACTGAAACTACACAAGCCCTCCTGCACACATCCCACATCTTGGAATCTACCCTCCTACACACATGACATAACCATAAACGTTGCACCTGATTCGGCACAAAAGCTCTAACAGGATAACTGATATCTCCTAACATGACTTTGTCAGGTAAAAACTCAGTGACTCCTCTGTTTCACGACTCTCCCCACCGGGTCTGCGTTGCACCAAACGGCGGGCACCACAAACACCAGGAATCCTCAACCTCTATTGCTCCACCTGCACACTTAATGCTACCCCAGAAATCACTAATTTTCCCCCTCCTATCATTCACTATCATTCCTCCTCAGAAATCTACGGAAGTCCAGAGAGTACATATGAATACAAAAAAAAATCCCTGGTTATGTCGAGATCCAAACATATTTATCTCATGACCACGACATAACACAAATTGTTTTGTCAAGATCACAAGGTACATTTTCTCATGATCATGACATAACAGAAGTTGTTTGTCGAGGTCACGAGATAAACTCTATAAATAGAAGTAGACGTATTGATGATAGATTGACAGAGTGGCTGAGGCGGCAGCGCATAGTTTTTTATTGATTGCTACACTAAGGGTTGGTACATTTCATGCTACCATCATGCTTTCATTTGTGTATGGAGCTCATTATCAGTTTATAAGTTAGAACGTTAGCAAGTTAAATGTCTCTTACCTTGAGCTAAGAGCTCTTGGGGCATCTAAGCCCTCGTGGGGCATTAAAGTCCTGAACGATGCCTGACAGGCAGCACTGTCTCCCAGGCTGTGTGGCGCCCCCAAGACCACAGCCAATCACATGCAAGCAACAACGCAGCTATCCACTACCAAGGACTGTGGCCTTTCCTTCTCCATGGCCTACGTGATTAAGACATTTAAGCATGTTAACCCCCGCAAGGCTGCCGGCCCAGACGGCATCCCTAGCCGTGTTCTCAGAGCATGCGCAGACCAGCTGGCTGGTGTGTTTATGAACATATTCAATCTCTCCCTTTCCCAGTCTGCTGTTCTCACATGCTTCAAGATGGCCACCATTGTTCCTGTACCCAAGAAAGCAAATGTAACTGAACTAAATGACTATCGCTCTGTAGCACTCACCTCTGTCATCATGAAGTGCTTTGAGAGACTAGTCAAGGATCATATCACCTCTACCTTACCTGTCACCCTAGACCCACTTCAATTTGCTTACCGCCCCAATAGATCCACAGACGATGCAATCGCCATCACACTGCACACTGCCCTATACCATCTGGACAAGAGGAATACCTATGTAAGAATGCTGTTCATTGACTATAGCTCAGCATTCAACACCATAGTACCCTCCAAGCTAATCATTAAGCTCGAGGCCCTGGGTCTGAACCCCGCCCTGTGCAACTGGGTCCTAGACTTCCTCACGGGCCGCACCCAGGTGGTGAAGGTAGGAAACAACATCTCCACTTTGCTGATCCTCAACACTTGGGCCCCACAAGGGTGCGTGCTCAGCCCCCTACTGTACTCCCTGTTCACCCATGACTGCGTGGCCAAGCACGCCTCCAACTCAATCATCAAGTTTGCAGATGACACAACAGTAGTAGGCTTGATTACCAACAATGACGAGACCGCCTACAGGAAGGAGGTGAGGGCTCTGGGAGTATGGTGCCAGGAAAATAACCTCTCACTCAACATCAACAAAACAAAGGAGATGATTGTGGACTTCAGGAAACAGCAGAGGGTTCACCCTCCTATCCACATCGACGGGACCGCAGTGGAGAAGGTAGAAAGCTTCAAGTTCCTTGGCGTACACATCACCGACAAACTGAAATGGTCCACCCACACAGACTGTGTGGTGAAGAAGGCGCAACAGAGCCTCTTCAACCTCAGGAGGCTGAAAAAATTTGGCTTAGCACCTAAAACCCCCACAAACGTTTACAGATGCACAATTGAGAGCATCCTGTCGGGCTGTATCAATGCCTGGTATGGCAACTGCACCGCCCACAACCGCAGGGCTCTCCAGAGGGTGGTGCGGTCTGCCGAACGCATTACCGGGGGCAAACTACCCGCCCTTCAAGACACATACAGCACCCGATGTCACAGGAAGACCAAAAAGATAATCAAGGACATCAACCACCCGAGCCACTGCCTGTTCACCCCGCTATCATCCAGAAGGCGAGGTCAGTACAGGTGAATAAAAGCTGGGACAGAGAGAATGAAAAACAGCTTCTATCTCAAGGCCATCAGACTGTTAAATAGCCACCACTAGCACATTAGAGGCTGCTGCTGCCTATTGAAATCACTGGCCACTTTAAGAAATGGAACACTAGTCACTTTAATAATGTTTACATCTTGGACTACTCATCTCATATGTATATACTGCATT